TTTTTTTTTGGGGGGGGGGGAGGCCTCAGTCTGGTTGAGGTAAGGGAGATCGGGTACAGATATCCTCAAAGAAGCGGATTTCAGCTAGCCAGGCAGCTAACTTGGCCGCGCCCTTTGGGGTGCCTAATAGGAAGGGGATTGTCTCAGAGGGGGAACCTAGGAGTCGGGGCAGGCGTCTTTTAGCGATATAGCAGAAAAGAAAGTGGATTGAGATTTTCCTTGCTCCGCAGCGGCAGAGAATGTGTGCATCTTCATGATTAAAACGTTCGTGATAAGCTGCGAAATCTCCATGACCCGTACGGGCCGCTAGAATCCGTGCGAGGAGGTGTCTCGGGAGTTTTAGCTCTGCAGGACATCTGGGGGATTTGGCAATCCAGAGATCCTGGTAGGATTGCGGGGCCTTAAGCTGCCAGTACTCCTGAAGGGCAGATATAGCGTCATCCTTTGTCTGCCGCCTTAATGAGGCATACGAGTGTTTGTTTGCAAGAGAAGAGAGTATGCCTGCTCCCTTTTTGGTAGCCTGATCTGCTGCTTCGTTCTCTGGTATTTGCATATGACCAGGGACCCAGCAGATCCGGACGGAGCTGCTGCCGGTGTATAGATATCGTTCCCGTACTGACCAGGATGAGACAAGGTCTTGGAAGGTATTGAAGACCTCTTGGGATGACCCCGAAAAGGTTGAGAGAAGGCGTGTGGCTACCTCTAGGTTATCTAGGCAGATCCAGAGGTTGGTAGCAAGGTAGGCTGTAGTTAGCTTAAGAGCTGCTTTGATTCCAGCTAGTGCTGCTTCGGCCTCTGCATCAAAGACCTCTTTGTTGGGGCCTAGAGAAAAGGAAGACTGTTGGTATAGCTTTCCCGATTGGCATAGGGCAAAACCCGCGCCTGCCATTCCATTTGCTAGCTTTGAGCCGTCTGTAAAGACCTTTATATCTGTCTGGGGAAGATAGGTATAAAAGTTCTGGAAACTGCTGGCCACCTGTTCCTTGGTTTGGCCTGCTGGGGCTCTAATCCGTTGTTGGGCTGCTTCACGCGACTCCTGCAGCAGCCAGGGGGCGTTCTGCAAAGGGTTTATTTGTTCTGACTTCGGCAGGGCTCGTACGCGGCGCGCAAAACGGCTTTTCTTAAGGCCTATGCGGATTACCTTTTCTGCTCTCCTGCGAAGCGGGTGATAGGGGTCAAGGCGGCGTATGCGGACTGCAGCAGTAGCAACTCTATAGTCTAGCTCAATCTCTGCTGGTAGGAGCCCCGACTCCCGATAGAGAGCTGGTATTGGAGTTGTGCGGTAAACTGGGAGAACTGCTCTAGCCCCTGCTAGTATAACTTTGGTCACTCTATCCAGGTGTCCCTGGACCCGGTTTGAGACTGTTTCTGTGCGTGGATCAGGGCGAGAGTAACCTGGCCACCAGGTTTCAATGCCGTAGTAGACTTTAGAGAGTACGCAGGCCTTGATTGCCTGCTGCATGAGATAAGGGTTGACCCCTCGCACTGTATTACTGAGGGAGCGGAGTGCATTTGCCACAGTTAAAGCCTTTGAAGCCATTTCACGGACATGATATTTGAAACTGAGCTTTTTGTCAAAGAGAATCCCCAGCCAGCGTAGGTACGGGCGAGTTATATTTTCCTTAATTGTAACAGTGCCTACAGATACTGAGAGTGTAATGTTAGGGGTTTGATCTGCCTGATGCCGTAAGAGATGTAGCAGCTCATATTTGTCAGGTGCAAAGGTTATCCCTTCTGACAAATCCCAGTCCAGGGCCTCTTGCAGAGAGTTTGATAGGGTTTGGCAATTTTCTCCCAGAGTAGGTGATATTGCAAGAAATGCTGTATCGTCTGCATAGCCAAATCTGGCCATGGGCTCGTCCAGCAGGAACAATGGGGCTATATAAAGCATAAACAGGATAGGGGATATGGGTGAGCCTTGCGGCAGGCCGCAGAGTATGTCTATTATGGGCCCTAATTCGCTATCTAGTCGGATCTGGACTGCGCGGTTTGTAATAAAGGAAGCTATCCAGCGAATCAGGTTGTCAGGCCAGCCCTGCGTGCGTAATCGGTAGATTAGCCTCCCAGGAAGGACCCCATCGAAGGCTCCTTTGATATCGAGAGTCAGTAGGGAAACAGTCTTTCCTTAATTCAGTGCTAACTCTGCATCATGCAGTAGGCATGTGGTCAGGTCGACTGCTGAGCGAAGAGATAGAGCCCCAAATTGTTGGCTGAAAAGTATCTTATGATGGATTGCAATCCATGCCATATTCCGCGCTAGGAGGCGTTCCAGGCCTTTACCTAGGACTGAGAGAAAGGCAATCGGCCTGTACGACCTAGGGCTAGACCAGTCTGCCTTGTTTGGTTTCTGAATAATTGCCAGGATTGCATGGCGGAAACATTGCGGGTGATAGCCTATTGATAAGCAGCCCTGAAAGAGAGCAAGAACTCTGTCTCTAATTATAGGCTATGCTATCTTGAGTATGCTAGTCGGCAGCTCATCTTTTTCTGAAGTTATATTTCCTGCGTGCAAGATAGCTTTCTCTGTCTGGGCCATTGTTATCTCTGGGAATTGCAGGGTCCTGGATAGGACTGCTGGTAAATCAAGTGGTATATTTCCTGCCTCTGCAGAGTTCTGCAGAAGATTGCGGGCTAAAATATCACGTTTGGCTTGTATATCTACTGCTGGTGGGTTCTCTGGTTGCTGAAGGTCTGCCAATGGGGGACTGCGATAAGATCCTGTTATTCTGTGCCATTTGGACATATCAAACACTTCTTTGGCTGTAGTTGTTGAGTTTATTCTTTCTTTCCAGTAATTTCGCTGTGCCTGTCTCACTACCCGGCGGAAGTCCTTTTGTGAGAAGAGACCTGCGCAATATTCCAAGAGTGTTTTTTTGCAGTCTGGATTCTACCAGGGGTGTCCCCCTCCCTGTGGTCTAGTTTTGCGTGCAGAGGCTTCATATGCACTATAGATAGCTGAAATAATCTCGCTTGCCAGATAGTCAAGTTCCTTTTCTGAGTGTGCAGTTGCTGGAAGGGAATTGATGTTCAGGGTTAAGAGGGTTTGAAAACGGGTTATGTCTAGGGTACTATATTTAAGCCTCTGAGAGACTTCTGGGTGCCTTTGTCTCCAGGGGAGGGTAATAAGAAGAGGGTAATGGTCTGATGTAGCATCTAGGTAGTCCGCAACCTTAGTATGTACTCCTGTAAAGGCAAGAGAGCCAGATGCGAAGGCTAGATCAAGGGTATTGCCTTTTATGTGTGTAGGGGTGTCAACCTCAGAGATTAGCACTAGTCCTTGTTGATCAAGCCATTCAGATGCTGGTTTAGCCAAGGTAGAGGGGCTTCGCTGGAGTGAGGGCTGCCATCTGGTATATCGCAGGTTAAAATTGCCTGCCAGCAGGGTTGGTTGAGTAAAGTAAGAGTCAGGAAGTTTGATCAGTTCCTGAACGGCTCTACCAGGCCTTATCGAAGATCCAGCACTGGGAGCATTGTAAATATTGAAAATCAGAGTAGATTGTCCCGAACGTGTAGAGATTTGGAGTAGAAGAAGGCCTGATAAGGTTTCTTGATCGATTAAAGTTGGGCGTATCTGAGAGGACTGTATACCCTTTTCCTTTCGAATGTAGGTAAGGACTCTGGGTCGGCCGCTTATTACCCAATTGTCAATTGGGGAGAAGCATTCGTATGAGGGATGTCCTTTTGTAATCTTGCGGGTATAGTCCCTGTATATATAGGGTTCCTGTATCAAGATAATGTCGATGTTGTTGGAATATGCCTAAGATAGGGTAATTTCATGAGCTGTCTCGTGGCGGCCCACGTTCAGCTAAAGTATTGAAAGAGAATCTGTCTGATAATTTTGAAATCTTATAGTTTTTCATTCGTAAGAGTTCCAAACTGGTTTTGTAGTAATAGTGTTATAAAGCGTACTGCTCTGGCTGTAACTGGAAAGGAGTCCGCTGGTCCTTGTTAAGGAGGGATTTATGGGCGGAATGGAGAGATTGTAGGATAGCTGTCGATAGACATATCCTGTTCTTGCGAGGCTTCATAGATTCCAGTTTCAGGGGCTTCTGGAGGTTGGGAGCAGCATTTGCTCTCAGTCCGTGCCTTAGAGAGGGCTGCGGAGCAAGTCTTGCGGGTCTCAGCCTGCTGGGCCTTTGTGAAACGAGCGCCTGGCTTGCTGGGCCGAAGAAGGCATTAATTATAGTCTGCTGGGTGGGGACCATAGCAGTGTAGGCATCTTGGGGGGCAGGTATGAGAAGCCGCGGCAGCGCAATAATTAATGTGACCTTTTTCAGTATGTTAAGTAGAGCCGCAGAGGCGGCATCGAGGGTTACGTGCACAGGATCTGGAGTTATGCTACTTCCAGCAGCAGTTACACTGCGAAATTTTAACCTTTCTGGATAAAGGTTGGGCGTTGGTAATCATACCGAAAAGAGATAGTCGTATAGGCAGCTTGGCTTTACTTTCTTCAGGAAAGTTGACAAACCAGCTTGAAGAAATTGTATTTGTATCAGAGGCGCTAGCGACAGTTTCGGTTACTGCAACTGGAGTAAAGCCGGTAATTTCAGCTATTTCAGCTGATAGTATCTCCGGATCGACGGGAATCAGAGAGTATTGGCTTGCATTTAGCCGGCCGACCTTTCTCGGTACGTTTGTTACCCGATACGAGATCCAGCGAGAGTTTCGCTCGATCTGGCAGTTGGTAAAGAAGGTAGTGATAGCCTCTTTCTGTGCCTCTAGGGCTGCGAGAGCTTCGGGAGATAAAAGCAGAAGGGCGAATCCTGTCTTAATAGACTGGACACCCTTAAGTGTCTTGTTGTTGGTGCCTAGATGGGAACGGAGGCTAGTGTAGATAGCGTATGCGTCCATATTTTTGGCAAGATGGTTCGGTGGGAGGCGTACAAAGAGGCGGGAGTCGGGCTGCTAGTCAGGGGCAGGAGTTATAGTCTTTTGCTTGGCCTTAGGCCGAGACGTAGAAGGGCCTTTGGCCTTGGTTGTTTGGGTGACTGTCGCGTACGTCGACTGAGCAAGACCGGAGGGGGGGCGAGATGGAGGGGGAGACGGGGGAAGAGAAGCAGGGGCAGGGGCAGGGGCAGGGGGGGTCGTAGTCAAGGTCGAAGAAACTCCGCTGATATAGGCACTGAAGTGGCGTTGGGCTATATCAGCCAGGTCGTTGCTGAGCGCGTCGAGCGCGCCTCGCTGGTGAGGCGCAAGCCCTGGCTGGCTCCGGTGCTTGTCAAGAAAGATTGCTATCGGGCTAAAGATCCTCTGGCCTTCGGTAGCCCTAATAGAGGCTGCTGTAGTTGTCTCCAGTAGAGCGGCTTGTAGAGGGCCGTCTGGTTGGGAGTTGAGTGTTGCCATCGTAGCAACACGTGTCCCGTAGCGATCGGGTTTGGTGAGGCTGGCCGTGGACTGGCGTCCCTGGTCCCGGGCCCGGTGCCCTGTGTGAGAAATAGATATGAGTATTCGAAGAGCTCGTTCGGATTATTCGTATCTGTTGGTCTAGAAGCATGAAGGAAACTCACCTACCGCCTCTCTTGTCGCAGATCCACGGTGAAGTCCGAAGCGGGGTACAATCAGCCAGCCACACTGCAGGGATGGGAAAGGGGGAAAAGCTCCCCGTTGCTGGAAAATACCAAGCTGATCACCTGGGTTTCCATTACTTGTATAGAGTGATCATGAGCGCTCGAAAGCCCCTTTGGCCATCATTGGCTAGGCTTATGCCTCATCAACAGTCAGTCAGTAAGCCCAGCCAAAGTACTAGACGATACGTCTGATGAAGGCGGGCGGGCCCTGTGCCGGGTGGGAAATCGCGGTTCTGATTTCTGAGATAACTGGTATCGACAGTCTCATAACCGCCTGGTTCTCGACCCTCGGATCGGCGAAGTTTACCCGTGAAAGGTTTGACTAAGGTGACTACCGAGGAGTTCAAGGTCCGACCTTTTAGGATACGTATGGAGAGTTTCAGTATGAGGCTGGCTTTAATGCAAGTATGCTGACATGCTGGCGCTAACTAGGCTAATAGTATTGGCATAAATAAAAATACAAGAATACAAAGAATTAACAAAGTGTTGGGCAGCTCAGCCTTGTCCGTCAGGCATACATTTGTGCGCATATACGGAGTAACTGTGGGCTATGGATAGGGTATTCAGCTCTCCTCTGTGCCTGATTCCGAGTAGTAAAACGGGATGGAATAAATTGCTGCATACTTAACAACTACACCGATGGATGTTGCATGCAATGCAAATGTCCAGCCTTGTCCGGTTGATTCAATATCCATCCACAACTCGACTGCACACAGATTGTAGCTCACAAAGCTCACAACAGCAAGTAGATAATCCGTGGCGTGGCGGTCTAGCCTCTATCAACTATCAGTAATTTGAGTTAAACCAATGCAAGCCCTGACATGTTGTCAGCTGGTGAAGAGGTGGTGGAGATTCGTGCACGTGTCTTCACCCCTCAGCCGCAATCACGGGCGTTGCAACACTGGCGGCCTGTGCCACGCATTTAAAATGAGGAGCTTGAATATAGGGCCTGATATTCATCGTTCGATCTTGACCAGTACACTTCTCGCCAGAAAGGCAAGTCATGTCCATTTTGTTCTAGTGGGGCGATGCCAATTGTCTCCCTTCACATCTCATCTCTGTCAACTATATTTTAGCACTATTTATACTTTCCGTGTGAGTATAGACAGCTCCGCTGGGCATGTTCCAGCTCCGACAAATGTGCTAATCTCCCAAAAGATTGGCAGTATTTCTGTTCCAGTCCAAGTAGGCGACGCCCAGAGTCCGCCTTAAAAACAGAGTAATTAGCAGATTCGAACGCTGCTATAATGGGAACCTATGTGACCGATTTGCCCTGGACCACCTCGGGAAAGCCGGGCAAGTACACTGGTGCCGTGATTGTCAAGCCCAATGGTTCTAGAGTTCCTGACGGCCAAGGCATAATTCTTTATAACGTCGGAAAGGCCTACTATGAAGGACAGTGGAAAAACGGTCAACAATGGTTCCAGGGCCAGTATTCGTTTCCGAACTACGTTTACAACGGCGAGTGGCGTCATGATGCGCCGAACGGTCAAGGAGAGCTGCGAAGCAAAGATAAGGGCACTCATATTGGTAACTTCGTTAACTGGAAAAGAGATGGTGCCGGAGTGCATACTTTAGCGGATGGCAAAACTACCAACGGGATCTATAGGAACAACAAGTTGCATGAAAGATTCACTAAGCGCTGGCCTAACGGGGACTATTATACGGGAACCTGGAATGCCACAACTCAAACAGGTCACGGACAAGGGCGCATTAGCTGGTCAACGGGGCGTATATATGAAAGAGATCTCAAGGACGATTGTATTCCTCATGGTCGCGGGAAAAAAACTTACGCAAATGGGACGGTTAGACATAGGACTTGGAACAATGGAAGTTTCCAGGGTTGAGGTATTAATATACATATAACTGTGAGTTGTGCATGCCACCCTGAGCAGGAATATATGCAGGTGGAAAGCAAACAGATTGAATTTGATATGGAGTAGTTGCTACCGCACAGTCAAAGCAGAAGCTTAGCACAATTTGGTTCTCTAGAGTATTTAAGACCAGATAACAGATACTCAGGCCATACCTGACTCCTTTCTCGGATTTGGCTTATGCTCGGGACTAATGACCTCGCGGCCATCACAACACTCTCAACTCCGTGGTGAACTAGTGATATTGGCACATAGTAGTTGTTTTCTAGAACCGGAATGTATCGGCTGGGCATCACTGCTGAGCGCGGCAGAAGACTCCAGCCAGGATGAAGAAATAATAGAAACAACGTAAAGGCGAGCCAATTGGATCTGCATCTATCCCTCGTATCCCTAGCACGTTTCAGCTGCTAGCTATCTTTCCCACCACCCTTGCATGACAGCGGCAAAATTTACAGGGAAACTGCCCCTCTTACTCAGCACTAAGTCGAGATACCCCTCACTACCAGGCTACCCATGGTAGGGAAGAAGAGAGCGACCTTATTTCTACGCATGCTTAGTGGAACAGGCAAACACTCCTGTACACGAACCATGCGCTGAGGACATAAATGTCCATCATCCAATATTAGTTCCCTACGGACGCAGCGAGCTCATGATTCCTCAATCAAATTCATTTCATATTTCCCAATAGTTCGTTAAACGAAGGAAAATGTCGTCGCTTGGACAGGGTAGCGAGCCCAGCATCAGTTACGTTGATGCGAGCAACTTTTCCCCTCTATCTGGCACAAAGCTCGCCGTTGACATCGATTGTTCGATATCCTCATATCCCGTGTTGTTGTGGGGAAACTGCATTTTCTGGCCGTTGTCGTACATTGACAATCGGGTGTCGATGGCAGTGGTTCAAACAAACACGGCAGGCGCTACCATCAGGACCGTGGAGGCAACTGGTGCTCGGTATATCAACAACATCCAGATCGATACCGCCAACAAGAGAGTAAGCTTCGTTGGCCAGGCAGGAATGGTTGCTAGTCTGTCTTGGAATGTTCTCTTTGGAGCTAGAGTACTTAATAATCTTAGGCAGTTTGCGCCTCAGTTTCAGTCGGGTAAGTCCCAAGCTTCGAGTGGGTTATAGCAATGTACCCCCTTTTATCGCCCTCTCCAAGAATGCTGGCATAGTTAACATTCAGTAGCGGATTCTGTCTGCTACTCTTTTTCCGCCATTTGGTGTACTCGCTAATTTTAAGTGTCTCGCGGCAGCAGCTCCTGTAGTAGTCAAGGATAATGATACCGAGCCCTTATGCCCACCATCCCATCGCCATGAATTTGAAATAGGGATAATATGCGCCTTGGAGACTGAGTTCAACGCCGTTACCCCGCTCTTCGACCAATACTGGGACGAGGATGGCGATCGCTACGGCAGGATCTCAGGGGATCAAAACACCTACACAACTGGCAGGATAGGCAAATACAATGTGGTTCTTGCCCTCCTACCGGGTATGGGTAAAGCCAGCGCAGCGGGAGCAGCAGCAAACTTCCGTTCCAGCTACAGAGGAGTGCAGCTTGCTCTGCTTGTAGGCATTTGCGGCGCTGTCCCGAAGAATGCAGAAGGTAAGGAGATATTGCTGGATGATGTCGTGATCAGTCAATATGTAATTCAATATGACTTTGGGAGACGTCTGCCGGACGAATTCAGAAGGAAAGATACGCTGCAGGACAGTCTTGGGAGAGCCAATGCGGATATCCGCGCCTTTGTAGCAACATTAAAGACGCGGAGATTCTTGCACCTTCTCCAGTCGCGAACGCTGCACCACCTTGAAGACCTTCAGATGAAAGTCGATGACGGGGAATATGAGCCTCCTGATATTGTGGAAAACCGATTGTTTCAGCCTACCTATCGTCATAAACATTCCGAAGATCAAAACTGTCGTATTTGCAACCGGTGTACCGGCAAATCGGATCCTGTCTGTGAAGACGCTCTCGACTCTACATGTACAGAACTGAAATGCGATGAGAGCCAACTAGTGCCAAGGCAGCGACTTGCAGGTATAAAAGGCAATCAGAACAGCGGTAACGCGCATAAGCCTGCTATACACTTTGGGCCGATTGCATCTGGGGACACAGTCATGAAATCTGGGGAGGATAGAGATATGATTGCGGCAATCGATAACATCATTGCCTTTGAGATGGAGGGGGCGGGTGTATAGGACAACATGCCCTGCATCATCATTAAAGGCGTCTGTGACTATGCAGACTATCATAAGAATAAGAAGTGGCAGCACTACGCTTCGGCCACTGCTGCTTCTACTATGAAAGCTCTTTTGGAACGATATATTCGAACGGACAAGCGGTAACCATCAGCCGCAGGTGAGACTGTGGGATATCTCAGGAAAAGCTCCCGAAAGACCAAATTTTTGAGTGGTTGCAAGGAAGAAGGAGATATCTCAACCACGTCATCACGTCTCGGTAGTGGGCTTTTCGTGTGTGAACCGGTAAGCGATTTGTGGCTGTGGAAATTCTTGGCAGGCACCCATGTCTGTTTCCCTCAGGATGTGGACCGGCCGCTGCGGAAGGTCAGTTACTGTGGGGAAACTCAAAGACCATCCTAGCTGCCTTTTTTGGGTCTCAGGTCACCATTGGGTTCCACACAGCCTTTCGCCTCACTATATATGGCTATTTTCCCTCCATGAGAACAAACTCTTACCACGAGAATTCCGTTCATCCTCCCAGAAGGTTTATAACATGGAATCCCACTATGCACAGTGCACTCAGGCCGACTGCAACCTACAACGTGCCATATGCGACCAGGACCTAAGATTAACTCTATTACACAGGTTTGACCGGATTAAGAATCTGGTAAATAGAGCGAATGATGTAGGTATCCAAGTTGAAATCTTAGCTTAATCTATTTACACTAATATTAAGACAGGAATTCAAGCTTTGCAAATTGGACATTGGATGGTTGGGAAGCTCTACAGAGACTGCAACTCATCTAGATAGCTTAGTATGTGCTAGTTCATCTTTCCAGACTGCTCAATCGCATCTTATACTAAGTGGTAAGGGCATAGCTGTACTACCTCCCCCACTAAGGCTACCCTTCTAACAACTGCTGTAGGCTTGATCAGAAGGGGTGAGGTCGCAGCCTAGGATCGCCGTGGAGGAACAACTGACGGACGGAGCACTGCGATATCGGATGAAACGCAGTGGCGAGATCACAGGGTTTGAACAGGTTATCAAGCCCTATGGGCTCCGGTACGGGGCCGCGAAAGCATTCAATGATAGCTGTAAGTCTCCCTTGTCCAGTTGTTGCCTGTTCGAATCGTTTGAGTCCTAACCCTTCTTCCCTTGAGCAGCGAGCGTAACAAATAAAATCCAAAATGTAATATTATAATATGCTAGCATTAATACGTTTGTAAAATACTACAGTATGAGCATACATGTTGATACCTAGGCAATTGTCCAGGATTTATTAGCCCAAAAGCAGTTGATACATTTTACCGCTTCTATAAGTCGGTTAATTAACCCCTGATAACTGTACAAGCTTAACAATACTAGCTGTGTTAACGAAGTATCTCGCGTGCGCATTTTACAGGAATATATTCGTAAATATAAACAGATTCGAGATAAAAAAAGCAGACCTATAAAACAGCAGAAAGTAAATTTCTGCAAAGATTCAGTATCAATCTCTGACAAGCAGCAAAGGAGCTGCTGCGCCTCGCTTATTAAATACAGAAATACGTTAAGGCTTGTAAGAAATAGAGTAGAAGTGCAAATTAGTGATACCAGCGAGTCCAATGTAAGTTCTGAAATAAGTAACAACGGTAACGCAATTGTTTAATATGCGAGAATCTGGAACGATACAAGAACGAATAGTGTTACGAACAGCTACGCTGACGATAGGGAATCGCAAGAATGTAAGATAGGCATTGAACGAAGAAGCTAAGCTAGGTTGTGAAGCTATTCAGGAGCTGATCACGATATGTGTGGGACAGCTCTGACGCTAGTCCCGATCGGATATTTAGGTCATAGGGCATTGCGAAGGGACGTCTTTGGAGGCAGGTCACAGTTCGTGACACCCACACTTCATCCCTTATGAGCTGCTCCAGCATCTTTTTCCTCCGAGTCCCCGTATGTCGAACCAATTTCTTTAAGAGCCAACTGTGTTTTATCATCATACTTGGAAACGATATCTTCTAGGCTCTCAATAATTGGTACGGGATAGTATTCATTCTGTCTTCGTTAAACTTGTAATTTGACTGGAGAACTGAACGATCTCCACTTACCAGCTCCGGCATTGAAGGTAGCCAGCGTTCTGACACCGAAGAATTGAAAACAAACCGCTGACCATTTTTTCTGGTTCTGATCATTACAAAAACATCGGACTCACATTCCAGACTATACTGGGCTGCTTTTTTGAAAATGCTCCTTTTAAGGCGGTTTTTTTGCTGGGTTTTTGCTTTGGTGCTTTCTGATCGGCGCCTTTTCTGTAATCGGGCTTTCTGGGCTTTCTGGGCCATGGTATGGGTGTGACGGTCTACAAAAGAGCTCAATATAAGACAAGTTTGTTTCTGACCCTGAGTCAAGGAATTTTCCCATGGGGAAGAAAGGCTATCTAGAAGGGAGGATGTAGGGGCTCTATATACTGCCCGAGGCTCTGCCTCAGGCAGGAAGGCCTGCAGAGCATCCAGGAAGGTTCCTGGATGCCTACCGGAGGGTCCCTAGATCCTATACTAACTAACCGGAATGTACCTCTGGAACGTTCCTCCACACCGGGAAGTTCCCTAACTTCAGGAGGTCACACCAACCCTAAGCCTTTCGCTGATTGTTTCAATCAATTTATATAGTGATCTTAATCTATTATCTCGCTCTTTACCATCTAAACTATGCTCCCGTTATCAGTTTCCTTGGCGGATCGCCAGTCGAACACCTTGAAAGGCAAGAGATAGTATCTAGAAGCGCTAGAGATAACTGACCCTCGAGAGCAGGAGCAAGTTCGCAACACGCTAGAGCGTTTTAACGAAGAGTTCGCTCCGATACGTAACCTTAGGAAATATTGTGCCAAATTGTCAATCGAGAGATACCTAAAGGACCGTATCGAGGAGTTCCTGTTATTTATCCGAATAAGCTTTGCTGCCGACGCAGACAGAGCTATAAGATTTCTTTACCAGATCTTTATCAAGGAACGGAACACTTAGCTGAAAAAATAGGATCGTCTGGCAGCGGCAGCTAAATCTTTAGCCCGTCACTCTAAACGCAATCGTCTTAGACGAAGGCAGCGTTGCTACGAGTCAGAGTCTGACAGTAACAAGCCCTCAAACAGCGACAAAAGATCTCGATCTTCAATACTTGATAGGCGTAAGCGTTTTTGGCACTACCGCACTCGTTACAATCAGAAAAGGTACGCCATTAGCCTTAACGGCTAGAGTCTAACGTCTAATCTTATCGACTATAACCGTCGCGTGAATTCTGATAGCGATATTTCTATAGACGGATTAACTGAAATACCTTACTGATTCTATCTAGCCTGTGCTGCACTCTTTTTTGCTATCCTACCCTATACCTTTACCGGATTGTACATCCTGTGTATCGACATTTACGTCCGCCGTCAAGGGAATCCTACCATTATCGGGGAGACAGTACCCATTCTTCTACTCTACGATAATATCTAGCTTGTATCTAGGCAGCCTATTCGGCCTATTCACGTCGCGTACGAGCGATAGCTCCAGTTTTTTTAGAACGAATGTTGCTTCCGCCCGGAATGTAAGAAGATAAATTCATTAGATCCGAATAGGAGCCTGATAAGACCAGTCTCCTCTCTCTATCGCCTGCAGTTTGTATTTCTAAAGGCTACGGGGGCCGTCCAGCTTTTCGAGATCCGGCCCGAGATCTCTCTAGACTCTATCGAAAGATCTTTGCTACGGATGGACCTTTCCGCCTCTAGACCTGACGGTTCCCTACCTCGTTTTAATTCGAATATCGGGCGCCGCGGAAAAGATCCTCTCTCCTTATCTATTTGCTTTGATGAGCGGGCTAGTATGCCTGCCGGTAAACCACGGAGGTACAAGGATATTACTTGCCGGTAATTAAATGATAGCAGGTTCCTGACGCCTCTGGCCTCTAATCTCTCTGTTAGGGGCTCCAACTAGGATTCTAACCAGAAGATCGGTAAAGATACTAACGAAAGTACTTACCAAAATGCAGAAAAAGTGTTCTCTGTTACTGAACCCGAGCTGTCGTCTGACAAGTAGCCTTCTTGTGCCGCTGTTGAAGAGTCGACCAGAGAAGTGCCCGACGAACCTACCCTCGACCCGCATCCGAAGACCCTCGTCTTGGATATTACGACGGCTCCTCCCAAGGCTAGACCCGTAGTGCTCCTAGATCGCGCGGAACTGATGCCCCCGGCTGCAAATACTGTACGAACAAACGGTATTGTTCTCTTCCCGTCGGTACCTATAATATCCTTTCGTTATCTACCTGTTTCCTAACTACGCATTGTCTCTATCCAGAAACCTGCGATATGATTATAGTTACCAGTGACAGGGGCAGCGAGCTCGATCACAAGAGCAATAAAGATATCGCAAGCATTGTTGATAATCTAGATAGCGCGGAAAAGTAAGTTAAACTCTCAGGAAATAGTACGAGCTAACTGATAACCAGAATCTTGATATTTAACGATACGTTACGTTACGACAATTTCGACCCGGAAGTATAGAGTATTGCGTATTATACGTATATGTTGGCCGTCTCTCTAGGCGTAATTGCTAGTAATGTACCCGTAGGAATATCGAATGATGAAGGTCTGATTCTTTCAATCTAGCTGCAAACGATGGTTTAAATACATGAAGACTAATAAGCAATCTAGCCTAAAAAGACAGTTAGAAGAGACATAACTTTTGAACCATAGAAATAGCAGAAAACTCTGCATAATCCTCGGGGATCGGTAGTTATCAACTAGGAAGGTCTCCTATGTGACTAGCGGTCACATACGGTTGACAGTATAGAATCCTGCTGAAAATAAGAGAGAATACGGCAGCCAAGATCTCTATCCCAAGAATCTATCTTGGGCGATATCCCTACCTTTATTGACTGTACGGTATAGTATAGATACTGTATCGAAAAGAAAATAGCCTGCAGAACGGGAGTTTTTTTGCGGATAATATTGGGTTTAACAAGGTTAGTTATTTTCCTTTCGCGAGACTCTATATTTGCTCACTAATCGTTTCTTTTTAGCAGACTCTTGTGACCTACCTGATAATCCTGACGGCACGATAGATTGAAATTGCGCTGCAGCGAGCCCGCGATTAGCTATCCTTTCAGCCAGACTATCAAACCTGCAGATATGATTACAATCTCTTTATTCAGTATCCGTATCGACTGTCTGCGAAAAACTATGTTCTCTCTTAGATCCGCAAGGGCGCAAACTACATCTTTGTCAATGCCAGCCTCATTGCGACCTGGTGCAATGAGTGGCAGTTAATTGTTAACACGAAAGACGTTTACATCTGTGACATAGTTTTCGTCCTAGAATACCGGGAGTCCCACCGGAATCTCCTGATTTAGAAACAGTAGACGCGTGACAACCGGACCGACCAGTTCTTTTCAAAGGACCTAGCGAAGTGAAAAGATTTCCTTTACAAGACGACCGTAAGTCGCTACCGCCTAAGGACCATGAGCCCGGAGGATCGGGAGATCTGGCACCAATCAGAAAGGATCTTAAACGCGATAATTGTGGCTGGCTTATCCTGCTTACGACTTTCCAAAGTTATAACAGCCGTTTCGCTAACTGGATAAGTCGGACACAGAGATTTCTCCTAGATCTTACGAGGCAGGCTCCGGTATAGAACATTAGCTATCGTATTACGATCGGCCGGACGTTTCGCGACAAGTGTTATATTACGTATAGCGAGACTACTCCTATCGTTCTTACATTAACGATATTAGCAGAGTGTTAGGCTCCCGCGTATTAGTTCTTATCCGTGACGCTCTGTACGTTGTCCCCAGCAAACCTAACAGCATTTATGCGTTTTACCGAAACCCGGCAATAGCAGACTGATCTTTATATTCGCAAGAAAAACTATCAGCTGTTCCGGCAGCTCGGGAAGCAGTTCGACACTGCCTCCGCTAAGAGAAATATAATCCAGATTGACATTATACTGGACAGCCTCAGTACCTTTTTCCGTGCGATCAACTTTCTGAAACAGACGCAAGAATCTATCTGATTCAGCTATACTTGCCTGGATTTTCCCGAGCAAGTTGTGCACCCTATCGACTGTCCTCTAGACCATACCGACCGCGATAATATCAAACAGCTACGTGATATCTGCTTCGGTAACATCTATAACGCCATGTACACGGTGAACCGCGGCACTCTGAAGGTAAAGCTGAGCAGTATAACGCAAACCATTCGCATTTGTGCAACATCTTTGGTCTGTTCTGCCATGCAAAACAGCAGAGAAAGGCTATTACGAATATCCTCACCACGGTAGAACGCATGGAGGCAGAAGATATTCTACCATACCCGGAGAACAGCTGGTTGACTTCCTAGATTGATACGATACTCTGTGGTTCGTCCCGCTGGGTTGCATTTCAGCAAATCATTAATAACTTGGATATCGAACCCGATACCGGCTAATTGCGCAAAATAATAATTCTGTCGCGAAATCTGACTGTAGCAGTTATCGTATATCTTGTCAGTTTTTCCCAACCTTTTGTCTCTGTGTTAGCGACCGCTCTAACGTTATTAGACGATCCGTAAATACTATTCTGTTTACTATCTATATCTCGGTTTAAGAAACGCTGCAAACCGGTCGTTCTAAGTAAATAAGTTCCAGGAACTACTGACGGGGATCACTCTCATTTACAAAAATGAGCCTGCCCGCAGTCCTGGTATTTTTGTGACTACGACTAACATTTTTTCTTGTAAGCTGACTTTTACCTGCGCCGTAAACCTGATCCTTATAGAGATAGACTGGCGCAGTACGAATTACACGCAGGCCTTTGGCCGCATCCGTAAGATCGGTCAAACAAGCCCGATAGTCTACAACTATATCTTCTAGAACGTTCAGTAAGAGAAAGATTAACGCGCTATCCTCAAAAATATCGCGAGACAGGCTCTCGAAAAGACGGTAAATATATACGGGCAAAAGGTATCTCCTTTTGGCCAGCAAGGCGAGGAAGATGACGGAATAATATTAGATAAGATATTACAGGTGTAATCATTGACGACCCTAGCTATCCTCTAGGATCGTATATTTTACTTTAACGCCGAATAAACATTAGAAATGGGTTTTGATTTTAAAGTTCGGATTAGTTAATAATGTAATAAATTCCGATTGTGTATAACTAAAGGTATTGCAGAATTTTCCCGTTTTCAAAGACGTAAGCTCTCTGACTAAACAGTTATCCCAGAATTAGTTGCAAAAACTCTAAGGATGTAATATTCTAGCCCTGGCACTTATTATAAAATCAGGACAGAAACAGGGGTAGTTAAATTTCCAGCCTATCGCGCTGAAGGATCCGAGTATTACAGGTTATTTCCCTTTATTCGATTACCTATTGACCGGACTATAATTGCATCCTCTTTCGACCCCAAATAAGATGGATCCGATATATTCTCTAGCGACAAGTAATCCTACAACTTCTATAGGTACTGTACGTCCTCTAGCCCACTCTAGGCGGCCGGCACTGGAGGGTCCGCTAACTGATATCCTCCTTCGACCCTATATGATATAGATCCTATACACCCTACAGAGACTATAAATCCTAGAGGGTATAAATAAGCTATACGTCCTCTAGACGTAATAGGAGCGCTCAGGCTTGCCTCCGTGACTATCTTACCGATCGAATAGTTAGCTGCCAGCGCTTCTGCACTACTCGCGCAGGCAGCTAATTCTTCGACGTAACCTACACGAACGTCTAAATCGATCTAAAGGCAGAGGAAGCAGCCTCTCTAAAAATCCCTGCCGCTATCATCTGGGCCCGGGTAGAGCAGGTTTTACAGGATAGGCAGGCCGCGATCGAGCGGGCCGATACAGACGTTACTGAACTAGCGCACGTACGGGCTGCGGGTCCATTATAACAGTACTATCCCCGGCCATATTACGTGGCAGGGGACTGACGAGCTGCTGTTCAGTTCAGCTGAGCAGCCGGCGCCCGCGATCCTATGGGGTCGGCTGTATGATAATCCTATCGAAGGGAAGGCCGACTGGAGCTTTTTAAAGGATAGTTGGACCGTTTGGCCCGTGGAAGGCAAGCGATAGCTGATTGACCGCGTGCGGGCCGAGCCGGTGCTGCAGGCGCAGTTTATTCGGACCCACCGCTGCCATCCCCCCAAGATCCGGGCGTATTTCCAGCAGGTTGTTGAATTCAAAGAGAAGCTGGCAATTTTGATCCATATTACTGGCGGACAGCCCGCTCGAGCCCCCGAGCTGCTTAGCATCCAGCACGTGAATACCGAAACGAACGTGCGGCGGAATATCTATATTGACGACGGGCTGGTCACGCTGGTCACGGCGTACCACAAGGGATTTTATGCCAGTAACGACGCGAAGATCATCCACCGGTACATGCCGCGGGAGGTAGGCAAGCTGATAATATATTACCTGTGGCTGGTGCAGCCGTTTGTCGAACAGCTTGACACTTGGCTAGAAAAACAGTCTCCTGCGCCACGCGACCCCCTGTCCCAGCACCAACGTGCACTGCTGTGGGGGCCTGATCCGGGGACGCGCCGCATGTGGTCATCGGACCGGTTCCGCGACGTACTGAAACAGGAGACAGAGCGACGGCTAGGGCAGGCAATCCACGCAGCCGCAAACCGAAATATCGCTATTGGGATCAGCCGGCGGTTCCTACGGGCGGGCAGCCAATTTCTTCAGAGCCAGAACGATCAGCGCGAGGGTGAGCGCGCTGCAACCGACCCCGATAACGAAACGGCTATGGACGAGACGCAGTGGCTCGGCCACATTGCTGATCTGCAGGCAGCCCATTCGTCGCACGTAGCCGGCATGATTTACGGCCGGGGGCTGATGGAACAGACCGGCACAACCGCACACCGGCAGGAGATGTTCCGCTTATCTAGTACAGACTGGCACCGCTTTTTAGGGTTTGCATCGGCCCAGTTCGAGCCCCCGTCGGCACTGGGGAAACGTAAACGGGCGCCGTGGGAGGACGCAGCGGCCGAACAGCAGATCTGGCGGCGGCACCGGCTGCAGCAGGCGAACATGGCGCAGGCTGCACGGCAGATGACCCAGCGGAGAGAACACGAGCTACGGGGGGTGCAGGCACCGGCGCTACGGGCGATTCAGGACGGGGAAAGCCCCGTGATCGCAGTAATGCCCACCGGCGGCGGAAAAAGTATGCTATTCATGTTACCGGCGTACATCGAGCCCGGGGGTACGACCGTAGTCGTGATCCCGCTTATCGCGTTACGGCAGGACTTCCAGCGGCGGTGCCAGCAGCTTAACATCTCATGTGCGGTATGGGAGAGCCGACGGCCCCCTGAGCCATAATGCTCTAAAGGAGGGAGGGCTCCCTCCGACTTCTTTAGATTTCTATTGGTCCACACGCGCCCCGCCGCGACGCGTTTACCAGTCTAAATAAAAGTGCCACGGCAATTCACCTTTGTCGACGATACCTATCGTTAACTGCCTTTTCACGTGTCGTGCTTCAATCTGACAGGAAGGCTGCAATGGAGCATTTTCGCTACCTCCCTGAATATCGAGTACTGATATGCAGGCCTTGCGGTCGTGCTATTCCAGCTGCGCACCTTCAGAGTTATCTACAAGGCCATCGCAAAGAATGGCTAGGCCTTGACTCCGCTACGGCAAGATCTCAGCTTAAACAACAGCTTCAAGAATATGATTTAGCCGATCCCTCTCAGAAACAGGTTCCGATCCTACCTCCCTCTGCATCCGCCTTCCCAGACCTGCCAGTAGAGCAAGGGCTTCGATGCAGGCAATGCCCGTTTGTAACGCGCTCCGAGAATTGGATGCAAAAACATGTCCGAACCCACCAGTTTACACGACAAAAGCAAGGTCGACCACGAAAGTCCGTTAGCTCTATTGTTTTAGCACAACAACAGCCGTGTCAAAATTGGGATAATATCTACTGCCAGCGCTTCTTTGTCTCAGGTCCTCAAAGCCATTATTTTCAGGTGATGCCGTCTTTCCGCCCGACAGCAAGCTCCCAGACCGATCTTATTCGTGATCAGGTCTACGAGCGGATCCGACAATTAGAACAGCAAGAGGAACAGCAAAATCAGACTATTACAGCAGGTAGCTACTGTCACGGACTGTGACCAGCCTCCGAAGACCTTCCTTCGCGATACCCTATGACCTAACTACCCCATCGGGACTAGCTTCACAACCTAGCTTAGTTTCTTCGTTGAATGCATATCCTACATTTACGCGATTTCTTATCGCCAGCGTAGCCGTTCGTCACAGGTCACACAATTTATTCGACACTATGATAGCCTCAAATGCTGCTTCACTCGACGATACAACTACCAGAGGGCGCTCTGCGAGGATCCAAAGGTTATTGGGGACTGGTTCAAACGTTTAAAAGAGGTTCAAGACGAGCACGGCATTCAGGACGAGGATATTTACAAATTTGATGAGACAGGCTTCGCTATGGGTCTTATTGCAACTACTAAGGTAGTTACGCGTTCGAATATGCCAGGAAGGCCTCATCTTATTCAACCAGGTCAACGTGAATGGGTTACCACAATCGAATGCATTAGCTCCACAGGATTCAGCGTTCCAACCTGCATTATCTTTAAAGGAAAGGTCTATATGGAAGGATGGTTCGAAGAACTTGATTTACCACACGATTGGAGGATCGAAGTAAGTGCAAATGGGTCGACAACCGACGAGATAGGCCTCCGGTGGCTTACGAATTGCTTTATTCCTGCAACAACTGCGCGGACTAAGGGGTCTTTTCGATTATTAGTTCTCGACGGCCATCGGAGTCATCTTACACCTCAATTCGACAAGATATGCAAAGACAATAATATTATATGTATTTGCATGCCTCCGCATTCATCTCACCTCTTGCAACCGCTAGATGTTGGTTGTTTTGGTCCTTAAAAGCGCGCATACGGAGACCTAGTTGAAGCAAAGATGCGCTTAGGATTTAACCATATCGACAAGCTTAACTTTTTTTAAGGCCTATCCTGCTGCGCGCAAGCAAGTATTTACGATACAGAACATTCAAAGCGGCTTTAGAGCAGCGGGAATACTTCCTTTCAATCCTAAGGAGGTCCTTAAGGAGTTAAATATTCAAATATCAACTCCGACCCCCCCTCCTAGCCATGGGGCATCAACAAGCTCCTCAATGATCAATACACCTCATACAGTTCGCCATTTACACAAGAAGGTCTCCTCAGTCAAGAAGATGCTTAATCAAGGCGATTAGGCACCTATAATTCCTTCAAAACGGGTCCTTGACGAGCTTATAAAGGGCTGCGAATTAGCGATCTATAAGACTGCCTTCTCGCTAAAGGAATTGCACGATCTCCGCGCGGAAAGTCAGCTTCAGCAGCAGAAAAAGAGACGATCTAAGCGACAGATATCTACTTGTGATGGTCTCCAAGTTCAAGCAGCAAGAGTCTTAATGGCGTTGAGAAATGAGCAATTGAATGTGGACGAAGGGGGTCCTAGTAGTTCTACTCCGCTCGCTTCTGGAGCCCAAAAACGTGCACCACCAAGGTGTAGTGAATGTGGTATACAAGGCCATATTAGAAATTCATGTCCTAATCGTCGTAGAACTTAGTTTAATAAATTATATCTAATTTTGTGCTGTTGTGAATAGCTTCAAGTTCTGCGAGTAAGGTAAAAATTGATGAGGTGAGCGGATCCCTCGGGACGGTCGGATTGCCCGGGAATTACGTTACTGCAATTAGTATTGTTTCTTCCTCACGCTTAGAATTCAACATATTTCTCGCCTACGAGCTTGCTACGTAGTTGGAGAATGGTTGTAGCGTCGTCGAGCTTGTACGGTCGTTGGGGGTTAATTAACCGGCTCATGGAAGCTGCAAACCGCATTAACTAATTTTCGGCCAGTAAATCCGGACAATTGCCTACATATTAACGTATATGCCCACACTATAATGTTTTATAAACGTGTTAATGATAGCATGCTGTAGTATCACATTTTGGACCTCGTTTGTCATGTCCGCTGTTCCAAGGTAGAAGGTTTAGGACTCAAGTGATTCGAACGGGCAAGAACTGGGCAAAGGAGACTCACAACTATCATTGAATACTCTCGTGGCCCTGTACTGGAGCCTATAGGACTTGGTAATCTGTTTAAACTCCGTGATCTTGCTACTGTGCTTTATCCGATATCGTAGTGCTCCGTCCGTCAGTTGTTCCTCTACGGCGATCCGGATCCCATTAGCTTTACGCACGGCCTAGCAGAACACAAATCGATCTAGTATTTCGACTTTGAGTTTCAATTCCTGAAGCCCTAGACCATCCAGAACGCCGAGATTATATAAGTTTTCGGAACAGTCTTAAACCTTTCCGTAGGTAGAAAATGTCTTGAACACTTGAAGGCGGAATAACATCCCTAAAAGGAATACGTAGGGACTAAGGACTAAGATCAGGTCGAAGATAATCTCTGGGATAGAAAACGTATTCCTATCCGACTTTATTAGTAATTATTTAACGTTTAGACAGCGGCAGATCAATAAGCCTCTGATACTCACAGTTCCTTTTCCCCTAGGAAAGTCTTGGTAAATTCGAAAGTCAGGTAAATAAAGAGTCGACGTCATCTTCTTTCGGGATTACGGACCAAAGTCAAGATAAGATCCCGATAGCACAGATTTAGGAGCGCCCTAGGGCGATTACTGGTAATCGCAGCTAGTTAACTGAAAAGGAGCAGTTAGATCCGGAGCCACCCGCACTGGAATGTTATCTCGGTCATTAATAGCAGTACCCGAGCAAACTCTGCCACATCTTCGATGTACATCGTGGCTTTCGGTCGGCGGCTAAGCTTAAGTTTCTTCTCTTTGACGACAACCGCTAGTACCTTGACATTATCAGTCAGAGTTCTTGCGCAGATCCGTTGGGCAATACTACCCACATTTAATACTTTGACGATAGTATCCTTGCTGAGTCTATATCCGACCTCTGCTTTATACACCAGATGCTACCACTTCCAGAATGTCTCTATAGAGCTCTTGTACGGTCCGGCGGCGTTTTTCCCCGTCGCCGATCCCATCGCCAGGAGAAGAGGGTCTTTAGAAAACGAACTGTCTTCTTTGAGTCGGACAGCCAGCGAAAACGTTCGACGGGGTCATATTTTCCATTACGGCAGAATCTAGAGACAAAATTGTACTATTAGCGCGGGCGTTAAGGCTAGGAAGCGACCGTTCCTCACTGATCTCAGTATTCCCGAGTCTTGTCCAACTTATCCTGAGTCCTTGGACTATAGCGTTTCTGTCGGAGGCGTGAGACGTTAAAACATTCAGCTTCCTGGAAATAGTGTTTAGCTGGGAGTTCTCGCTATTACTCATCGTCTAAGATCGAATTATCATTAGAGGGGTCATCCTCAGAAGGGTCATCGCTGCTGTCGGGCTCGGACTCGCTAGTCGACGTGTCGGAGGCGTCATCCTCATCTGAGAAAATGGGTGACAGGTCATTTGTCCGGTCACTCTCATCTTCGGATACGACCGTTTGGGAGAGCTGCATGCCAGGCACGGAAAGTTGGAAGGAAGATGTATTATAGAACAAGGAAACGGCTTAAGCCGGAGTTATCTTTCCAGCCGTATGTGGAAACGGTTAGGGACTGATGGGCAGATGGGTGGAAGTCGCTGGAGGAAGGAGAGAGATGCGAGGGATCGACGGGGTGGCTAGCGCCACGGCCGGGCGGCTAGGGGAACGGGGGACTGTGGACGTGGTGGTAGTGCTCGGTAATGGTTAGTGTTGGAACGATATTGTCAACCAGACTAGGGAGGTGGAGGATCCTGGCCTAACCTACATACCATACAGCACCTTGCT